AAATGTTTTGAGAATGATGAGGGCAATGAATGTACAAATGTGCTTTACACAATTGATGTATGTATGGATTGTGATAAGCGTTGTATGAGCCCCTAATAAAATGATAAAAAAGATATATAAATATATCAAAGTCATAGAGAGCATGAGAGGTAGAGAGATTGAAATAATGGAGTCAGACACATTTCATGGTAGCAATGCTCAACTCAGCCCAGCTTGGTGGTCCATGTGGAGAGAGAGGGAAGGGAAGGAGGACAAGGGGAAAGGAAATGGGACAGGAGAGGAGAGGGGGAGCTGACCAGAGGTCAAGGGAGGAGCAGAGAGAGAGAAATCTTTATTCCTAACCCAGGCCTATGTATCTTTGGGGGCACAAGCCCACTAATTACAGGTAAAGACATAAGTCACAGGGAGGGTTGCACTACAGGTTATACAGCAATGAGGGGGGAACAACGAGGGACATACACGCAATAGGAAGAGGAGGGATTGGGGGTATACATGTGACAAGAAGGGCAGATCGGATCATAGATTCAGGATGGCAGCTTAACTTTGGATGTCAGGGAGCCGGTTTGACCAGTTCCCTGGCACCATTATCAGTAGGGTTTGAACTCCACCTACAGGAACCAAATCAATGACTGCAAACCCTTAGAGAGAAGTAGCCCACTGTCCTTAACAACAGGGAGCGGGGCCTGCCAGAGTCTGGTACTGACTGCCTCCAGGGAGGATGTCTCTAAGCATCTGACCTCCCCCCATATGCTAGCAAAAAGCCCCTAATGTTTGGCATGTCTTTGGGGGAGACAAAGCTGGGGAAAAATCTCTTTATAGTCCCACAACAGAAGACCTGAGGAGCTGTAGGATGACATCAAGAACTTTATATATAAAGAAAGCAAGAGGTCAGTAAAAAGACGAGAAAGAAGAGATGCATGTGGATGTCGGAAGAACCCAACTTCATAAATTCAGAATCCTTGCAATTCAGAGGAGAGTGCCCAGGCTTTGCAATCAGGACACTTTGTCACTTAACTATCTGTGTGGCCCTGTCAGGTCACCAAATGAATTCCCATTTAGTCACTAATAAAATGCAAAAAGCTTTACCTTACCTTGTAGGTGTAGGGTAATAAGAGATCATGTATCAGGGCATCTATATTAATACGGGTGTAATAAATGGTAACTGGCTCAAAATTATTAGGTGGTAAACGTAGCGGGTTGTGAACGATGAAATGAGCCTAGAATTTCCTAGACCGCTCGCTGCACAGGGCTAGCGCCGGCCTATCCTCGCGAGAGGGCACCTGGGACGCGGGGAGTGCCACCTGGAGACCCGGCTACGCCCACCACCCCCGACGCGCCAAAAATCAAAGGTGCGGCCACGCCCCCGGGGCTTGCGGCCAATGAGCGCCGTGGTCGGGAAGGGAGGCGCGCCCCGCAGTCACGTGAGCAGCTGAACGCCCCGGGACTGCGCAACTCTGCTAGCGGGCGGCATGGTGCGTGGCCGTATCTCGCGGCTCTCGGTCCGGGACGTGCGCTTCCCCACGTCGCTTGCGGGCCACGGCTCGGACGCCATGGTAAGCGTGACGCCGGCGACGCTGCGGTGCTCCCTGCCGACGCCCCAAGCCCGGGGAGGCGCTCGCGCCCCGGGGAGCTCCCCAACTTTGGAATCATTGCTTTGGAAAAGTGGGAGGCGGGGTTGAGGGAAAGCAAACATTTAAAAAGTATATAGAAACTCTTGGGGTTTTTTCTTTTTATTGCTAAGGTTTAGAATTTCTTGCTTCCCAATTACATGATGAGGAACCTTGGGGCTTTTAACTCAAGGGTAATAGTTCGAAACCACCAGCAATGAGTTTATTTTGAGTCTCAGGTTAGGTGTTGTCCGTAAGCATTGTACTGCTTTTAAGCGCAAGATCAGTCGTTCAAACCCACCAGCCGCTTCGCTGGAGAAAGGGAGACTTCGCTCCTGTAAAGATTTTCAGCTTCGGCAACCCGACAGAGGCTCCTATGTATCCGTATTGACTCGATGGGAGTGGGTTTGTTTTTTGGTTATTCCCGTGTTATGGAAATATACAGCTTAATAAGATGGGTTTTTTGAGCCCCCCACCCAAGAGCACAGAACCGGCTACATCTGTATTGGAAACCGGATGAGGCTCCAGGTGATGGAGATAAGGAAGCTTGGAGACAGAATTTGCTTGGTGACCAGCGGAAAAGTAACCTCCCTCGAAGCCTCAGCCCCATCAGTGAAAAGGAATCACAGTCGAGCTGAGAAACCAGACAAGTCCCTAAGAACTCGGTCACACAGAGAAGGCCTGAGGCTCGGGCTAGAGAAATTAGCTGCAAACTTAGCTATGGGAGGATTTATCCAGTAGAGAATCAGGCACATGTCATTTAGGCCTAGCAGAAGCAATAAAGCAAAGACGTGGGCTCTTACCTGGGTCAGCTTTGAACTACTAACCTCCAAAGTCAGTGGTTCAAATGGTGGCAAGAGATTCGTCAAGGCAGATACAGAGAAGGCCTGCAATAGGTTAGCGATTATTGTCATTTCCAGGTGAGGCAACTGTGCAGAAGGGGTTCTGATATGAACTTTCCTGTACTTTGAACTTGTGGTAGAAGAATTTAAACCATGGAATATGGCCCTGAGGGATTTATGACCCCTGGGTAAGGAGAGATTACTTGTTAACTGTGGTGCAAGCTCACCTGTAAGTGTGAGCTTAAGTATTTATCACTAGAGATACAGTAGGTGTAGTATGCTGCCTTTCCAAGTGCCTTCTAGTAGAAGGCTTGTGTGCACTTCCTGGTGGTGCTGCCTGAAGTAAATGGCAATGGAGAGCCGTTTCTGACCTCCTCTGGCCTCCCGATTGCCATTAGGCAGGGGTCAGACAAGCCTCCATGGTGCATTTGTCTCTGTCTACTCTGATACCTACCATTCCGCCCATGCCACTCCACATCTGTGTTGGGTTGCAGATTCAAAGCGGTGGCCACATGCAACTCATAGACAGTACTCACAATTAAGGGGCTTTATTAGGGAAGTTAATAGGTTACCACAAGTCAGGGTCAGCAAACACTAAGGATATAGTTATGGGTCTCCTTAGCCAACAGTGAAATCTCTCTTCAGTTCTAAGCCTCTCAGCCAGGTGGTAGCCAAATCTTTACAAACATTGTGGAATGCAATATGGCGCTACCCAAAATAACTGAGAATGGAAATACTATAGGACCCAGCAATACCTCTCCTAGGCATTTACCCCAAAGAAATAGAACATGAACAGATGTTTCCTCTCATATTCTGCAGCACAGGTCACAATAGCAAGAGGCTGGAAACAGCCCAAATGACCTTCAGTAGAAGAGAGGAGGAAACTCTGATACTTACTTACACCCAATGGAGTACTCTGCATCCCTGAAGTGCTGCTAGCGTGGAAGACCTCATGACACGAATGGACCTGGAAACCGTTGGGCTGAGTGAAATCAGTCATCCACAAGAGGGCAGATATTGTATGAATACGCTCCTAGGAGGATAAAGCCCAAGACGAAGGCAGCAGACTTCTCTCAGATCATGTAATCTTCTAATCCGGTCTCCCTAGCAACGAGGTAGTAAACTTGCCTAGTGCCCATGAACCTTATGTGGCCACTTTTATTTAGACACCTGAAAAACAACTTTGACAGGAGGCCTCACCTCAGCTGAGGGCAGTTTCTCAGGATCACAGATCTTGATCAAGATCTGGTGCTGCCATACATCATTGTTCTAAGGTTACCTCAATCAACAGACACTCCTTCAAGAGTAATTAGCAAACCTTAATGGAAATTCCAGTCAAGGCATGCTGGTTGGAAGGTAGTGATTATACTTCTCTTAGTGGGTAAACTGAGCAGGGCAACCTGCAATCAAAAAATATACTTAACAGTTACATAGAGCCCAAGGGGAGAATACGTGGGCAGTGTGCTCCTGATTGGACACGATATTGATCCAGATTCTACCCAGCCCTTGGTGGCCCAGACTGCTTCCTATAGACAACTTGGACTTTAGACTCTTCTTTCCAGGCACACGGCATCCTTCATAAGCCACACCAGAAGGGGTTGGTGCAGACACCTAACTGAGAGAACTAGCTTGACCTTAAACTCACCTGTGGCAGATTTAAGAAAAGTATATACTCCCTTGGACTTAAGGCTGAAGCAGCCTAGGCCCTGGGGTGAGAAGAAACAGGTGAATGCTATCCTAAGGCTATGCAGTTGGTTGCTGTACTTTGGTTTAGATCTCTTGCTTTGAGGGTGCCCAATGAATTGTGGCCCAGGACAGCCATATATTTACTATTTTCATGTTCTCTTTGCTTTTTATTACATGTTAGTCTGGCAGGCATGGTTCTGCCTTTGTAAATGAATATTGCTGAAAGTTGTGCCCTATCCTCAAGCCTCATTGTCTATAGAAATAGTGCCCAATCTCTTGCAGAGGGGTCTCGGGGAGGAGATGAGCCAGTCAGGGTGCGATGTAACAACAATGAAAAATACAACTTTCCTCTAGTTCCTAAATGTTTCCTCCCCGCTCCCACTACCATGACTCGAATCCGACCTTGCAAGTCTGGCTAGACCAGAGGATGTACACTGGTACAGATAGGAACTGAAAATCCAGGGAATCCAGGGCTGATGAGCCCTACAGGACCAGTGGTGTGAGTGGTGAAACAGGGAGGGTAGAGGGAGAGTGGGTAGGAAATAGGGAACCGATTACAAGGATCTACATATTACCTCCTCCCTGGGGGATGGGCAACAGAAAAGTGGGTGAAGGGAGAAGTCGGACAGGGCAAGATATGACAAAATAGCAATTTATAAATTATCAAGGGCTCATGAGGGAGGGGGAAGCGGGGAGGGAGGGGAAAAATGACCTAATGCCGGGGGTTTAAGTGGAGAGGAAATGTTTTGAGAATGACGAGGGTAATGAATGTACAAATGCGCTTTACACAATTGATGTGTGTATGGATTGTGGTGAGTTGTATGAGCCCCTAATAAAATGATTAAAAAAAAAGAAAAAGAAATAGTGCCCAATCACTCAATCTGTACGAATCAGCAATTCATGAATTGCAGTATGAAAAGTCAGCTTATATATTTATTATTTTAAAAGAGCTTTATTGGCTTAGACTTAACATACCATACACTTTAATTGTTTAATCATATTAAGAAGGGATGTGTAATCATCACTGCAGTAAATTTCAGAACATTTCCTTCTTGTGCCCATTGTTAGCTTCCTGCTCCCCACCATTTCCCCCTGCCATGCCCCTAGGTCAGCGGTTCTCAACCTGTGGGTCCTAACCCCTTGGGGGTCACCCAATTCATAACAGTAGCAAAATTACAGTTATGAAGTAGCAATGAAAATAATTTTATGGTTGGGGGTCACCACAACATGAGGAACGGTATTAAAGGGTCATGGCATCCGGAAGGTTGAGAACCACTGCACTAGGTCATTATTAATCCAGTCACTAGCTCTGTAGATTGACCTACCTTGGGTTTCACACAGAATAACATAAAACAGAAAGCCAACAACAAGAACGATGACTAGACCAAACACAGCAAAACCTCAATCAAAAAGCAGAAAACATTTAAAAACGACTTTAAAATGGGTCCACAGGGAGGTCAAATGATTAGGTATTATATTCGAACCTAACTACATCTGCCATAATTGACTACAACATTCTCGATCTGATATGGATTAAGCTCGCATTGAATCTCCTCTGAACATACTCCAGGGGTGTGAATAGCTTTGCTATCAGACAGACAAAGAGGCTTATATTTTAATTGGATTGACATTAAGATAAATTATTAAAAGAGACCATTTCTTGGAAAATAATTGGTGTTAAATAATAGTGATTAAAGAAAGGCCTCAATGAGAAACTGACTTCTGAGTAGGGAAGTCTTACACATGTATAATTTTCTTTTAACAGTGTTTGAAATTCTAGACTGTTGGCTAAATTAATGACATTATCAGTGGATTTGCCTTGTGCCCCATGGGGATGATCTATAATGTTCTCTATCATAAAATGCTATCTCTAAAGTGAACCAGAGACATATGAATATGCTGCATACATATGAACCATAGCTATATCAATGGAGTTGGGGCTCACACTTAATCATAGCCCTAATTTAAGAACAATTATTGAACTGTGGAATGTTTTGATATCTGTAAGAGCTCCCAATAAAATGATTTAAAAACTAAAACAATTCTTATGACATGGCCCTACTTGATACTCCTCCTAATGGAGATATCACTGAAGATATAGGTGCTATAGCAAAGTCAGGTGAAAAAAACCAGATGGTACTTGGCTGTCAGAAAGCTTTATCTTAAAACAAGCAGTTGTTTCAGAGAGGTGTCAGTTAAATGCACATAGAAAAAGCACACAGCCTATGCGATCCAAGGACTAAATGATAAAATCTAAGTCCAGAGGAAGGAATGGTTAGTAGTAGTAGTAGTCACTGCCATTGAGTGGAGTCTAACTCCCAGGGACCCTGTGGGACAGGGTAGATCTGTTTCTGGGTTTCTAAGAGAAAGCTTCATCTTTCTCCTGAGAAGGGGCTGTCGGTTTTGAAGTGCTGACTTTGCAGTTAGGTGCCTAACTCAACCGCTATGCCAGGGAACTGTTCTAGAGTTTAAAGTCAAACACCTGGTTTGCAGAAAGCTTTAAATGTCAGTGGAAGCCCGGAATCCATTCGCAGGGTCCCTACGTGGATTTAGCCTCCAGTGAATCCCCTCTGACCATAGTCCAGGCGTGTGAATGGCCTTGCTGTTAGACACAGAACACTGCAGATTTTGGCAACCCTAGTTAGGTTAAAATGTAAAATCTTATCATCTGATCTCCCTTTTGACCCGTTTTAAAGTTATTTCAGTTTTAATATTTTCTTTTTTTTTTTCTGCTTTCTTTTCTATTGCGGTTTTTATGTTTTGCCTTGTTGGTGGGTTGGTTCTCTGGGGTTTTTTTTGGTGGGGGGGCTGTTTTAAAATGATTTTCTCCATAAGAAATCCAGGATAGGTAAAGCTATAGAGACAGACAGTTAAAGTGATAGAGATTGAATTAACAGTTACCTAAGGGTATGGCAAGGGAGGTTGGGGGAAATGGGGAGCTAACCACAGTGAGTATGAGAAAGAAGAAAATGGTCTTTAATTGTGGTCTCTAATTTGATTGCACAGTTCTTAATATGACTGAACTCTTAAATTGATATGTGAATTATATGTCAATAAAATTATTTTGAAAGTGTATAGCTCTAGATTGTGTGGAGCCCTGGTATTATAGTGGTTACTCATTGGGCTGCAATCCTCCTGGTCAGCAGGTTCAAACAACCAGCAGCTCCTTGGAAGAAAGATCAGCCTTTCACTCCCATAAACAGGACAGTCCCGGAAACTCATAGGGGTTCTCACTTCACCCTAACGCCCTCCTCTGGGGATCAGTATCAGACTCAGGAGTTGGTGGGATGGACACTTATGTTTCTCTATCTCACAAATATCTTTGGGGCTTTGTGTATTTGCTGTAGCCTGGATACCTTCCTCACTTCTTTTCCCGTCCCATCCAAATGGTCTTCGTCCCCTCAGGAACCCTTCAAGTTCTACACCTTCCTCCTCCTCCTCTGTGACAGGCCTTCTGCAGCATTGTAAGTGGCCATGATTCAGCATGTAGCCTTACACAGCCTTGGCTGCTTCTGACCTGGCTCATGTGCATTGGCTTCTTCTCCCCACTCTCTGATTAGCTTTCTAGAGCCAGGTGTCTTATTTTACTTCTGCGTCTGCCGTATCACAGGTGATGCGGAGTTGCTGTTTGGTAGTAAAAGTTAAAACAAGACACACACCCCGCCCCCAAGAAAAGGGGTGGGTGGTTTATTTATGATGAAACATGAATCCTTCATTTTCTCCCAGTCATCTCCTCTGAACCTATAGCATCATGTTTAAGTTATCTTAGAAGCGGTGCCAATGAGGATGTCTTAATATTATTGAAACATTTTCTGAAACCTTGGTTTGTTTACTTTTGAACTGCTTGTGAATGTTCACTCCCATCCAAGAGCCAAGGTAACCACTCTGGGTTTTAAATTTAAATTGAGCTGGAAACCAGCAGAGACATAATTGCTATCTGGCATTAAAACTGTGTATATTGTGCTTGTTAAAATAATTTTACTCAATTCAGGAGAACATTTTTTTAAATCATTTTATTGGGGGCATTTTATAACATTCCAAGCATCAATTGTATCCAGCACATTTGTACATATGTTGCCCTCCTCATTTCCAAAACCTTTTCTTTCTACTTGAGCCCCTGGTATAAACTACTCTTTTTTCCCCTCCCTCCCCCACCCTCTTTTTTTTTTTTTTTAATCATTTTATTGGGGGCTCTTACAGCTCTTCTCACAATCCATACATACATCCATTGTGTCAAGCACATTTATACATTTCTTGCCACCATTCTTTTCAAAACATTTTCTTTCTACTTGAACCTTTGGTATCAGCTCCTTATTTTTTCCCTCCCTCCCTCTATCCTTCCACTCTCATGACCCTTGCTAAATTATAATTTATTATTGTTTTCATACCTTACTCCCCTCACATGTTTCTGTTGTTCATCACCCTGGGGGTGAGGTGGAATGTGTGTTTTATGGTGATCATTGCAATTGGTTCCCTCTTTCTCCCCCTACCCTCATGGAATCCCTACTCCCGTTATTGTTCCTGGGGGGTCTAACTGTCCTAGGTCCTAGGTCAGGAGAACATTCTTGTCCATTCAGAGCTCTTTTCATTTATTTGGGGCATATCAGTGGTTTCAGTAGATGTGAGCCTTTCAACTATCTTCTGTTACATTGGCTCATGTTTCTGGATTTCTCGTGTTTGCATTATATGAACGGGAGACATTTTTCCTCGCAGCACACAGACCCTGACTACTCGGCTGCCTATGTCGTAATAGAGACGGATGCCGAAGATGGACTCAGAGGATGTGGAATTACCTTTACTCTGGGGAAAGGCACTGAAGTGGGTGAGTTGAACATTCCCTTAAAGTTACTTAAAGAATACTTCCTTGCCACTGGAGTTCAATTCTGACTGTATTTGTGTTCATACTGCTTGAAGTAAGTAAAATATTTTCTTGTCACTTGTTTCATTTGGACCTCTTGTCTTACAAAATAAATGTATGAACTATTGAAAAATCCACAAAACCGTTCACTTCTCTGTGATGCTGAATGCAAGAATGCTCTTCACTGGCTCTTCGCTGTTGTCTCCTTGGGGGCTGTGCCGGCCTGAGCCCCGCTAGTGGCCCAGGCCAGGGAGGGAGAGCTGCTCACACAGCAAGGCTCAGTGTCCCGTGCATGGCAAATTTACTTGCTTTTCACAATATTTCACACCAAGTTGGTTTTTAATTAACTTCCGGGTGCCGAGAAGAGGAGCGGGTGCTGGGGGGTGTTGGCCCTCCCTAATTTCAGAGGTCTCATCTGAGAAAGCAGATTCTTTAGGGTGCAAACACTTAAGTCTCTCTTCTTAGAAATGGATGAATTCTTTTTTTTCTTTGTTCTAGTTAAAATTTCTTCTTTTTTTTTAATTTAATCTTTTTATTGGGGGGCTCGTACAACTCTTATCACAATCCATCCATCCATCCATTGTGTCAAGCACATTTGTACATTTGTTGTCATCATCATTCTCAAAACATTTGCTCTCCACTTAAGCCCGTGGCATCAGCACCTCATTTTTTCCCCTCCCTCTCTACTACCCCCTCCCTCATGAACCCTTAATAATTTATAAATTATTATCATTTTGTCATATCTTATACTGTCCGTCCGACGTCTCCCTTCACCCACTTTTCTGTTGTCTGTCCCTCAGGGAGGAGGTCACATGTAGATCCTTGTAATCGGTTCCCCCTTTCCACCCCACCCTCCCTCCACTCTCCCGGTATTGCCACTCTCACCACTGGTCCTGAAGGGATCATCTGTCCTGGATTCCCTGTGTTTCCAGTTCCTATCTGTA